CCATCCTGAGCTGACTTCCCGGTGCAGGTGACCTTGACAAGCTCGTCAGGAACTCCTAACATGACGAGAACTCGGCGGAGGGTCTATGCAAAACCCCTGAGCTCACGTAGGTCGAAGGTAAGCTTGGCGTGGTCCAGAGGTAGCGGTCCTAGAGGCGGTCAGTCGACGTTCGTTGCCATCTGCATGTTTCAAGGAACAGGTGTTAGCAGGTCAATAATAGATAAGCCTTGCATAGAAGTAAATGCAGGGTCGGTATATAACCAAAAGAAGGGTTGTTCGCGTCCTATTCTATCGTCCATTTCTAAGGGTTTCGTCCTATGGTCAAGTATGGCTCTGATACCAACTGAAGCGACCCCGATTTCCGCGAAGGGAAATCCAGTGTCAAAGTGTAATAAGACCATTGTAGATCATATTACCCAAATTCCAGTCGAATATCACATCCATACAACGATAATATCAGAGTACAAATAGTGCGGAATTACATAAATTTATTACATCGCCGCATTGGCGGAATTAAAAGTAGCATTCATTCAGAACAGCTTGAAGATAAGATCGCCATACTCGAGCGTAGGAACGAACCCCTCAACCGTCAAACTCCTCAGAGCTATACTCCTCAGCATAACCTATGTGCCAAAATTTATCAGTACGATTTGTACTGGCCACTCCCACCCTATGAGCATTGCTTTGTGGAAATTGGATGCAAGTTGGATATAATCAAAGGAACCTATAAGGCTGAGGTTTCCTATGTAATAGCATTTTGAGTCTATATTAACAGTTGGTCAAGTTTTAACACCATTCCCACACCCATTCCACCCCATTTCCGTCCAGAGCCAGGTTTCGATCCTGGGATCGATACACCACCATCTCCACACCATCACCATATCACACCCATACCATCACTCAGTCGACAGGCCAACTCCCTCTTGGCACTGTCTCAAGGCCCGTAGCCCCTGGCTATGTGGAAATTGGATGCAAGTTGGATATAATCAAAGGAACCTATAAGGCTGGGGTTTCCTATGTAATAGCATTTTGAGTCTATATTAACAGTTGGTCAAGTTTTAACACCATTCCCACACCCATTCCATCCCATTTCCGTCCAGAGCCAAGTTTCGATCCTGGGATCGATACACCACCATTTCCACACCATCACCATATCACACCCATACCATCGCTCAGTCGACAGGCCAACTCCCTCTCGGCACTATCTCAAGGCCCGTAGCCCCTGGCTACGTCCGAACACTCACTCCCAGGGGGAGACGAGAAGGACTCATCTCACTATCTAGTTTAAGCGAAACCTAGGAAAGGTCCATAGCCGACAAGTCGGCATATGTATCGATCGATCAACCATACACTCTGCAGAGGTTTTACATAACCACAAGATCCGCCTTCCTCGCTGATTGTCGTCAACTGGGCTGATTCCGGCCGCTTGCTAGCCTAGGATAATGCCACTCTACCATTCAGCCCTGGTACACCCCAAATCTGGTCTGGGGTGGCTGAAACTGTGAGTCATGAATTGGGTCCACAAGGTCTCCATGAGGTCTCGGAAGGGTGTGGGGGGAATCCTCCGCACCCCGTACCTCCCTCGCACTGTCCGCTATCAACCTAGCACTAGTGGCAATACCCTACCAAGTAGTCCGGCCGTCCCGCACCATATAGGGCGAGTGGTACGTAAGGCTTCCCGGTGAATCTGAGTACTAGTAAGTCCTTAGGGATGACCAAGCCAGAATGTCTTCATCAGGGTTTCCATTTATCGTGCCACCACAGCACCTCCACCCTAGGCTCCTCCCATCACAGGATCACACCTAGGGCCACCTCATATACCATTTACCCACCATAGGTATCCATTCCAGGGGTGCCCCAGGCTCATCGTATACTCTAACTTGGTCGACACAACCCTCACCCTCCACGCACCCAAGTCACACACGCAGCACTCTCCCCATAGTCCAGATAACACCAGTTTTCCACCACGCACCAATGTAGTGCAAGCGTAGTAGAAGTAATAAGCAATGAAATATAGTAGCAAGCGTGTGACTAGCCTAACAGCTGGGTGAGCAGGGGCAAGGTTGCGTCAAGGTAAAGGGCATCAAGAAAGCATACTACCATGCAAGTCCTATCATGGTGTGATCATAACAATAAAGTAAAGCACTAGCATTTCTATTTGCGTAATAGGTGCTACGAGATTGGGTGGGATGTGGCACCTTCAGTGTAGTCGTCTCCGTACTCCTCACAGTACTCACGATCCTCGTTCGTCCGGTTCTCCTTCGAGTCTGCAAACGATCGCATTATAGTCGCGTTAGCGACATCTATAGAATAGCACAAAGATGCAATGAAAATTCAAAAGAGCCAAATGCACTCAAACATGGGTTCATTGCGTAGAGCTTGATTTTAGATGAATTTTGGTCCTAGTTTCGTATTTTTCCAAGGTCACATGAATTAGTTATGAAATTTCCGAAGATTAAATCCATTTTGAAAATGAGAAAGGCTGAATTAATCCTGGGCTGACACGTGTCACTCTGTGACTGGTCCACGTGGCATGATGACGTCAGCATGACATCATCGTCTTGGTTCCGTGCTGACAGGTGGGGTCTAGCTGACGTCAGCATGACGTCAGCAACGTCATCAGTTCTGACAGGTGGGTCTAGGGGCTCTGGGGTCACTAACATGTGGGTTCGGTCCAAGTCAATGTTAGTCAACGGCGAGTCAACGGTCAACGGTCTACGGTCAACGATCAGGGTCACTGACGTGTGGGGCCAGGGCTGATGACGTCAGCAGCTGATGTCATCGTGACATCACCCTAGCTGTGTTGGCGTCTGACGTGTGGGTCCCGCGTGACGTCATCAAGAGGTCAGCATGACGTCACCTACTGACAAGTGGGTCCAGCGACTCGGTGTCGCTGACATGTGGGGCCAGGTCAACGGTCGACGTTGACCAGTCAACGGTCAACATGGGCCGGGTCTCAAACGGGCTCGGTTTGGGCCGGTCTAGGCCGGGCCGGACACGTGGCAGGCTGTGACGCTGCCACATCATAGCCGAGGGCCTCTACTGGGCTGTGGTCTTTGGATGTGGGCGTGAGCGTGGCTCACGGTGGACCAAGAGACGCTGGTCCATGGACCGCAGACAGGTCTACGGTGGACTGAGTCCACCCTTCTTCTCTTAGGCGCGGTCCATGTGCACCGGGTGTATGCGCGGGTTGCCGGCGAGGGGGTGTGTTCCCCTGTTTCTCCCGCGGCCATGCTCTTGCCGGTGGCGAGCTCGCTGGTGAGCCTCCGTGGCGGTGCTAGTGCGCAATTGACGTGAGTGGAAGCTACGCCGAACCTCGGCGTCTTCATTGGTGGGGTTACCATGGCGTGCGGGGTCCCGTGGTGTGCCGGCCACGGCGGCAGTCTTCCTAGCACGACGGCGGCGCCGGTGAGGTGGCTACGGCCACGATGAAGCATCCTGGGGGGGCATGTAAGCTTCTACGGATCCATGGGGACACAGCGAGGGCGTCTAGGGCTCAAGGCGGGGCTTCGGGCTTCCAGGTGGCCGGTAGGGGCTCCCCGGCAGCCACGGCGACATGGTGACGACAGCGAGGCGCACGGGTGAACTACGGGGCTCCAGCGGGGTGGTCACGGCGTGGTCGCGGGTGTGCGCGTGGGTGCGTGTGTTCCCAAGGACCGGAGACGGCCCTGGCCTACTCGCTCCCGATGTGGAGCGCCTTGGCCGACAAGGTGAGGTCCAGCGTCGGGCAGGGGAAGACCGGGAGGGGCTCACCGTTGGTGTCGACGGCGATAGGGTGGCGATGCAGTGGCGGTTCGAGGCCATGTAGCTCCGGAAGCCGTGCAGTGCCGACCCGCGTCCGTGATGACGACGACGGATTCGCCCTCCGCTGCGGCAACTCCGGCGACGTCGGGCGCTCCTTCTTCTTCCTCTATCCCCTTTCTCTCTTGGCTCGGGTGAGCGGTCGACGGCCACAAGGTGGCGGCGGGGCACAGGAGAGCGCTTGTGCATCCGAGGCCGGGGTTTTTATAGCCGAGCTCATCCATGGAGCTCGGTGGACGGCGGATGGAGAACTAGGGGCGATCGGAGGGCTTCTAGCGAGGCTGGGCTAGGGTTCTGGGGCCGTGGCGCTGTCGTGGGCGCGGCGCCAAGGGGGAGACAGGGTCATGCCCCTGGCGTGACCCCTGGCCCGCTCTTGCCATCGCTGTCGGGACTTGGTCGTAGAAGAATCGGCGTGGGGAGGAAAAAAGCACTATTGTCGGAGGTGGCTGACGGGTGGGGTCCGTTGGCAGCGGCTGCGGGCGAAGCAAAAGGGGCGCGCGGGGCTGGTCGCTGGACTGCTGGGCCTGCGCGAGCTCATGGGCTGGCCTGCTGCTGCGCATTGGCGGGGCTGGCCGGTTGCTGGCTGGGCCGTGAAGCCGAGCAGGCCGAGCCGGCTGCGAGGCCCTCTTCCTCATTTCCTTTTTCTGTTTTCTTTTTCTTCTTCCTTGATTTGAATTCAAATTTAGTTTGGGTATTTGAATTCAAAATGGGTGCACCAAATTCATTGGAGTTTTAGATATGAGGCCCACCACATACTTATATAAATATTATGAATTTATTTAGCTATTTTGTATAACAAAAATAGGTGTAGTTTTGTTATAAAAAATAGAATTTGTTTTCTCTTTAAACCTTTATTCCCTGGTTTGAGTATTAATTACTTTATGGTGTATTTCTTTAAAGAAGTTGTTAAGCATAACATAAAGCAATTGAAAATCCAAATCACAAGTTGAGTTAACAATATATGCCATGTTTCATTGGATAGTATTTAAATATGCATGATTAACAATGGCATGCCATGTTTATGTGTTGACTTGGGTTAGGGTTAGACCTAATGCATCCCTTAGGTTGGGTTACTATACATTACACTTATCATCACATGAGAATTTTAAGAAAAAAAATTGTAGTTGGTATTTTTGGTGTATGGATTTTTGGGTTGTGACGCGCGTGGCGTGCTTGATCCCGGCCAGCGTGCCGCGCACGTTCGCGGCCATGACGGCATCGAGCTGCGCCAGGTCCAGTTCGGCCATCCTCGACGTGCCGGCCAACGAGCCGGCGACGCCGGCGCTGTTGAGCATGACGTCGAGCCGGCCAGACCGCGTGACGCCCACGGCCCCGGCGACGCTCTCCTCGACGGTGACATCGCAGTGGACGAAGTGGGCCTGAGGGCCGAGTTCCCCGGCAGTTTGAAGGCCCAGCTTTGAGTAGACGTCGGCGATGACTACGGCGGCGCCCTGCTGGATGAACTCACGGGCCGTCGCCTTCCCAAGCCCACTTGCTCCTCCTGTGATCAGCGCAATCTTCCCCACAAGCCTGCACATTTGTAAGTGCAAAATCCTTTTCGATGAGTGGAACATCAAATTCATCAAATAGCATATTTCAAAACGAATGGAAAAGCATGAGATTTAAAAGTTTGCTTATCTATGTGGATCAAGATGGAAATTGGAACTCTAGATATCTGAGACGAAAATATGAGAAATAGCAAAATAAAAATTGCGTGCCAGTACTGTGAAAAACTCGAAATCCAAGACGCATGGTTTTTCAACTCTTTTACCTCCCCTTCGCTGGCGCCGGAACCGGCGCCCCCGACACCTTAGGCTCGCCGCCGGCCATGGAACGACTGTCCTCCTCCGAGGCCATTCTCGTAGCTGCTAGCTAGCTCCCAAAATCCAAGGAGAGCTACCAACAAGTCAACGCTGGGAGAGCTACCAGAAGGGTAGGGAGAGAATGGTTGCTCGCTTCTAAATGAAGGCAGTTGGAAGGGACCTGGAGTGTTATACAAAATCGAGGAGCTGAGCCCTGACCCTGACATCAGCTCGAATAATGCAGTTATGAACCGATTAGTTAGTTCTCACAACAGTTGACGTAATGGTTATACTAGCATTATTGCTAATGTGCACCACATATGCACGATTACATGGTGCCATTTGTGGTCAATAATGCTACTAACAGCATGTGCAGCACACATGCACGCTAGACAAGAGTGCATGATTGAGTAGATATCATGTGCATTGTGCTGGTCAATGCAAGTACCAGGCGCAAGGAGATGAAGATGGACTAGGATTATTTCATATGGATTGAGCACAGCACGATCAGTGTGATTCTTATTGCGTGATCATTCATTTCTAAGAGCATCTTAAAGAGTTTTCCGAAATCCACTCCTAATCATGTTTTTTTAGCAAAATTAGAAAAAACTGTTCTCCAACGACTCCGTATCTTAACTCCCAATCTTTCCGTACTCAGAAAAATCAACTTAGTCACATCGAAATATACGCACACGTATGGATCGACCAATCTGAATGTTAAAGGATGTGCAAAAACAATAATGAGTAGGACAGGGTTCTCAATGCAAATGTACAAGAGATAAAGAAAGTATAAAAACAATTAGGGTGATTTGGAAATAATATAAGATTTCTGATGCTAAACTGTGTTCAATATTTTAGTAACCCTATTCATCCTCTCCACCTCATAGGCCAAGACATGAAAGTTCCTATAAACCAAACCAAAAAAAAGGTAAGAAGCAAAAAGATGACCGACTACTCCACACCTTGAACCAAAGACCCTAGCCTAAAGGTTCTTCTAATTTTTTTTGTGTGCAAATTACACCCCTAAAGATTATCTGGTCTTTTTGACTAAAACCAGAATGAAAAAGTCTAAAATACTACCCTCAACTATGTTCTATGTCCAGATAACCCCCCCCTAAACTACTGTTTAGTTCGTTTTACTCTTCTCAATTATTTTAGTTGGTCCAATTTACACCTCAACAAGATTCGTCTTGTTTGTTTTTCCACATTCAAGTTGTTTTCTAGTTTCAAACTTTATGAGGGGATAGCTAGCACCATAATTTATGTTTTAAAAAAATATTTCCATAAAATTTTATCATTACTTTGATATGTTATGACATATGATAATAAATTAACACTAGAAATAGAAAATTCTATTAAACATAATGATATAAAATGCATAATGTAGTTTTAAAAAATAATATAATATTCACTATCACCCCATAAATTTAGAAACTGAAATTCAGTTTGTACATAGAGAATAAAAATATAAATTTTGTTACGTGATAATTGGACTGACTGAAATAGTTAAGGGGAGTAAACCGAACCAATAGTTTATGGGTTATATGGACATAAGCGATACTTGGAGGTAGTAATTTGGATTTTTTCTAAACCAGAATATCTATACCTTTGATGTTTCACAACCCACAACTTCTCCACAGAAAGAAAGCAGTAACTGCGAAGCCCCATTCTTTTCTACTGAATCCATGCACTAGGTTTGGATCATTGCATGGGCTAAAAAGTCGCTCACAACCCTTGTAAACCAAGATCACAACAACTCACACATTCTCTCCTTCCTCGTGGTTAGGTGCAGTTTTATACAAAAGAAAAACACTACCAGAATGAGGGATATTTAACTTTTTACCATCATAACGGATGGCGCCTCCTCAAATAGCAGCTTTAGGTTTGACGCTACATTTTTAGCAGCAGAGAAAGAAAAACGATACACATTTACGACTTTTGCTCGCGTGGCACGACAGCTCCACTGTCCAGCTTGGATCCAAGTCAGCATCCTCAGGTAAAATGACCGCCCCTACCCCTAGCGTCTATATTCTCCCCCCTCTCCCTCCCCCATCACTAACACGTGGGCCCTACAAGTCAGATTCTCCTTCAACCTTCAACCATCACCACACAGCTAGGGAAGGGGAAGAGCTCGGCCACACCGTGGTGCGCCGTGCTGCCCCGGTGCGCGACCACCATGCTGGTCTTGGGCGTCGGCGTCCTCAGGCAGCGCGATGGGCGACGGCGACCCGGAGAGGAGCAGGAAACGCGTGACATTCCAGGACCTGGAGCCCGTGCGCAAGGACGTCGAGGCTGCATAGGTCGGCGGCGCACGGCTGGCAATGGCAGCGGTGTCGAGCATCCGGTTGGAGCGTAGCATCTCTACGGCCCCCGCCGTGTCCTCGACGGGTTCGTGGTCGACCCTGAGCGCCGGCACCACATACTGCGGGGACGACGCCGACGAGGCTCGAATTCGAGGCGCACCACACCGTCAAGGGCGTGGGGCTCTCCGTGTCTACGGCCGCGGCAAAGACGACAAGCAGCGGCGAGCACTGCGCGTCGCCGTGGACGGCAGCACCGCGCACCGCGGCGTGGCCGAGCTCATCCCCTTCCCTGGCTGCGTGGTGATGGTCGAAGGTTGAAGGAGAATCTAACTTGTGGGGCCCGTGTGTCAGTGATGGGGAGGGAGAGGGGGGGAATAGAGACGCCAGGGGCAGGGGCGGTCATTTTACGTGAGGATGCTGACTCAGATCCAAGCTGGTGCCATGCGAGCAAAACTAATAAATGTGTATTGTTTTTCTGTTTCTGCTGCTAAAAATGTAGCGCCAAACCTAGACGTCATCCGTTATGATTGTAAAAAAGTTAAATATCCCCCGGAATGAAAGCACGCAACACCTCAGTCACAAGCTGTGGCAACTGGCAAGTCACTCCTGTGGCTTGGTAGGGAAGGGCAGGTTCATGTGCTTGTAACTCGTGAATCCGCCGTCAACCACAAGGTTGTGCCCAGACACGTACTTGGCGTCGTCGGAGGCAAGGTACACGGCGGCCCTGGCAATGTCCTCCGCCTCGCAGGTGGCGCCCTTGAGGTCCCCGAGCCCCCTGATGATGGCCGCCACCTGCGCCTCGTCGGCAGCTCCGCCCAGCATCGCCGAGAACTGTTCCACCACCATCGGCGTGGGCACCGCGTACGGCGAGATGCAGTTGACGCGGACGCCGTGGCGCGAGAGCTCGCCCGCCGCGGCCTTGACGATCCCGGCGATGGCGAACTTGGACACCGAGTATGGGTACGTGCCCAGCCCGCCGAGAATGCCGCTGATGCTGGCCATGCAGAGGATGGACCCTCCGCCGGCACCGTCGCCCGCGGCGGCCGGCGCCGGCGTCTGCAGCATGACGCGCGCGGCGTGCTTGATCCCCGCCAGCGTCCCACGCACGTTGACGGACATGACGGCGTCGAACTGCGCGAAGTCGAGGCTGGCGATCTGCGACGTGCCGGGGGACAGCGGGCCCACGACGCCGGCGCTGTTGAGCATGACGTCCAGCCGGCCGTGCAACGCCACGGCGGCGTCCACGGCCGCGGCGACGCTGTCCTCGGCGGCGACGTCGCAGTGCACGAAGTGGGCGTTTGGGCCCAGCTGGTCAGCCGTCTCGAGGCCCAGCTTGGAGTTGATGTCGGCGAGGATCACGGCCTGCGCGCCCTCCTGGATGAACTCCTGGGCCGCCGCCTTGCCGAGCCCACTCGCGCCTCCGGTGATTAGCGCAATCTTCCCTTCTAGCCTGTTGAAAATCAAGTGTTTGGTGGCAGAATTGATTGTGAATTCAATATGCGGGATTTATAATTTACTAGTACGGTATCATTATATAATTAGACATTGAAACTTGTAGCACTGGCTAAAAACTTAAAGGAGAATGACAAAATTCTGGTGAGGGTTGAGATTTGAACTGGTAACAAAAGCTAAGAAAATCATGAGGTGTTTCGGTAAAAAATCTGTTTGGTTCACCTATCAGCTATGAAAAAAACTATAAACCATTTGGTTGAAGCAACTATGAAAGCTATCCCTCTCTTAATCTTCATTAAAACAACTGTAGAACGTCTCTGTATTTACATCCACTTGGAAAAGGCTGGAAACTAAAACTCAAAAGCACGACAAAATGTGCCGTGAAAATTGTATTACGCAAAAGCAGTTGTGTATAAAAGAAAAGTAACTTCAGGTTGTACCCGTTTAGTCGGTGTTCTACTTTTTGGTAGTAAAAACACTTTCTAGAAAGTCAAACAGCCTATATAAGGGTAAGAAATTAAATTATTTCTAACTTTATAATACATAAACTGCAGGAAATAAATAAAAATACATGGAAAAAAATAGGAAATCTTGAATGCATGTTTTTCTTTATTTTTGAACAGATCATTGCAAATTTCAGTATGGAAACTTGCAATGACTGTGCTCAGACAGACACTGTGAGAGTAAACAATTGGTGGGGTTAGCTGACAAAGACAAACCCAGGAAACTCGGGCGCGTGGTTAACGGGAAGATTCTCGTCATTTGCAAAAGGACCTGACGGTGGCCTTGGCCTTTGGGAACAGCAGTGCACTGTTCTTTGGAAGCTGCCGTGCTTCCAACTCACAAGCAGACGTACGCGCGGGCCCACACCACACACCCTCTCCTCTCGCTGTCTGTCGCTCTCTCATCTACGAGTATGAGTGCTACTGTAGTATAGGAGTACTCCTTTCTGTGCTCTCTGTCACTGCCTACTGGTGAGAGAGAGGATGAGATCGATCACATGGCACAACAGTGCCAGCCGGGCAGCAGCAGCTGCATGCATTCGTCCGGTTGGTTTGGGTTTGTTTCACCGAGGGCTGAAATTAGCGTGGACTGATTTGGCGTTTTTTAAAAAAATACTGTTAGTTTTTTTAAAAAGTATGGCCTATAGTCAAAAAAGCCCAAACCAACAGGACGATTAACAACTGCCTTCAGATGCAGTACTGAAATCTAATCTAGTCTAATCTAATCTAATCTAATCTAACACCCTGGACTGGAGAGAGATCAGAGGAGCGAGGTGTCATTATGCAAGGGATAACGCCAATGTTTCTGCATCATCTATGCACGGCTCCACTCACTATGCAAATGCAAAGTTGCAAACTGCAAGCAAAAGGATGGTGCTAAGCAAGAGTAGTAGTCATCCGATTGGATGTTTCCTCCTACCTTCCTTTGCTGGCTGCCGACGACGACATCCACCGCTCACCGCCCGCCGCACCGCCGGCGGCCATCGTCGCCGGGGCTGCTCTTCTCCTGAAAAAGCCCCCAAATATCAATGGAGAAAACATGCAAAAGGTCCGGAAAGTTGGACCAGAACAAATAGACATTTTCTGCCCTCATGGTCATGGTGAAATGAAATGAGATTCCAAACGATAAAATTAAACATCAGAAACTCCATGTAGTGATATATACGTACCTAGCTTCGGCGACAAGCCGGTGCATCATGATGCCGCCCTTTGCTTCACTTGTTGAGTTCTTGTTCTTCCTCGGCTAGCTCTGCTACAGGAGAGAGAGAGCGAGGCTGAGAGAGACGGAAGGGAAGGGAGAGAGAACTAGGATGGATGCTTGTTGTCCACTTCTCGTGTGTACGAGCGTGTTATGCGAAGGGTTGCTGCTAGGAGCCTCAGCTAGCTCCTGCTGCCTTCTTTATATGGAGGATGGAAACGAGCTGGAGAGATCTGTGAGGCCACACATCTCGTCGCTCTCTCTCCTGAGCATGTGCAACCCAACCACCGTTATTTATTAATGTGTGGTCAATTTGGTGACCTAAGCAAACTAAATCCTACTAATTAATACTTTTGTTCTGTTCATCTGCTTTGGCAGCAGCTGGAGAGGCTTTTAATAGGCAGCTACTACTCTACTACTCCTCCCTCCGGCCAAAATACCATGATCTGTTCCAAATTAAAGGTTACTTTAGTTTTTTAGGCACACATAGATTTTATTATACACTAGATATGTGATATATATAGATATATATTAAAAATTACAATATATCTAAAAATATCAAAACGACCTATAAATTAGAACATAGAGTATAATTGAAGTCATTTTTTAAAATTTAACAAAAAATATATAAAAGATACTAATACTTAAATGAAGAATAAATATTATTAAATTAACAATAAAAATATATTTTCATAATAAGTATATTAGGATATATGGATATTGTAAATCTAGTTAAGCTGGCTGTGCGATACGGCGATGCGCAATGTGTGTGGACTGTGCAAGGGTTGTTGGACAGTATGTAGACCATTGAATCAGACGGAAAGCACAATGTCCCCTTGTCATTCTCTTGCTTTGACCAGCTGGTGAGATCAGCAGCGGCATTGGATCTACCACTATATACAACAGCTAATTATATATGCTCAGTACCATACGTCCATACATAAGTGCACTGTGCAGCATGGTGGTCGGTTTGAGCTAACCTGCAGCAGCACGAATTTAATAAGCCACCGCTGACATACAAAGACATATACATAGTATTGTACCTAATAACAAATAAAAGAGAGCCCATAGATATATTCCCCTCCGTTTTAAACATTTGTATATTTAACCATCGATTTCAAAAAATTATAGATTGGTCTTTATACTAAATTTTTTAGATTCTACTTCCGTAAACTATTATTGTAATCTAATCTTCCACGTCGATTTTCAAAACTAGACATCGTATCCTCTCGAACTCTTAAAACCGATCAAATTATTACCTCTCTGTCTTAATTTGGACTGGTTTTGAAGGTAGTTTTGTCCTTTTTAAGTTAAAAATTTGGTAAATATTTGATAAGGTTCCAAACCATATAAAATTCGTCTAAGATTTTAAAAAATAGAGAAAAAAAATCAAGTGATATATTGAGATAAAAAATCCAAATAAAATATTTAGAGCCCATGAAAGTATCTTTAGAAACTTGAAAAATTAGGTTTAGCTCTATAAAATGGGAAAATTTTCTAGAAAAATCTAGAAATTTCTCAAAGCATTTGGGTCAAAGTATAAAAATGTTTAAAAACTTTGCACGCTAAAATATATGAGATGCAACTAGCATGAATGCAACGTATATTATTAATGCTAAATGTATTTGTGCTCGTTGCGTATTAGATTTTTTGTTGCAACAAGTTTTCAATATATGTATACATATCAGTTAGAATGTTTTGGGAAGTTTCAACTTTTTTATGGAAAGTTTTCCATTTTGTTAGAGCTAATTCTCTTTTTTGAAGCATCTAAACATATTTTCATGAGCGCTAGAATATTTTGTTTGGAATTGGTGCATCCCAATATCCAAAATTTTTTGAACTTTAGCAAGCTTAGAGACATTTTTTATGGTATCAAAATATTTTCAAATATTTACCAAATCTTTTAACTAAACAGGGATAAAATTGATGAGTACTGGCCCGATCTTCCGAGAGGTAGCCGGTAAGTTCGATTTGTGGAGATCTCGACGTTGGCGATCCGGCTTCAAATCGAACGATTCAAACCCCTGCAATTGTTATACACCTTTGCTCAAAATCAACCAAGCACAACTGATTGACCTCGCCAAGAAGGCTTTTCCCGCAAGCGAATCAAGAGCACAAGCAAGAAGGTAAAACACAATCTGAAATTGCAAATATGAATAGACGCGGATATCAATTGAGGATTCAGAACTCGGTAATAATTAAATCAAGAACGTCACTTTTAAAAGAGTCACCACAGTTACAATGAACGATTCGGTTTCTCGATGGAAAACTAAACTCTAAACAAAACCCAATTGTGTAGCATAGTCTAAGACTTTTGGGGAAGGGTTGGGCGCCCACAACTGGGCTTAAGGCGACACGAAATAGCCAAGTTGGCCCAAATAGGTGACGCAACACCTTACCGTGGTCATCCACGGACCTTCTGGAGCTGGGACCATATCCAAAACGACGGCGTCGTCGTGGACTTTTTCCAACGCATCCAAATTTTTAATGTGGTATGAGAAAGTTATGACCCGAAAAAGTGACGGCGTGACTTTGAATCCGAGGCGACGAAGTTGTTGGGAACGAATTGCAACTTGGGGAAGACCATGGCATCGGTGTGTCCAGCTTGGCGATGTCCTCATCAAAAATAGCCTTCAAAACAACTCTAAATTAGGATAGGGAGGCAATTTAAAAGGTTTTGAGAGTTCAGGGGCCAAGATGTCTAGTTTTGAAGTTTGAGGAGAAAAATCAAACTACGACGATAATTAAGGGAAGTAGATCGACGATAATTCAGGGGCCAAGATATCCTTTTAGAATCTATAAAAAGGATATCAAATATTAATATATTTTGTTTCTAATTTTTTTGGAACTCTTTTATGCTTCGCTTGTTTTTATCACCAGACTTGTGCTTTTTCTGTACTACTCCCTCTATTTCAAATTATAAGGCATTTTGTTTTTTCTAGATATATTATTTTTACTATGTATCTAAATGCATAGCCAGAGCTATGAATCTAGAAAAACCAAAGTGTCTTATAACTTGGAATGGAGAGAGTATTTGATAAGCAACCTTGAGGAGGCCCTAGCTTGGTGTTAAATAGTGGTTTTTAATTTGTGCCCGTCTTGGACGCCCTAGCTCGGTGTTACTCATATAGGGTTTTCAATTTTGGGATCAGGATTTTCTCGGTCACCCCTGAAATTACAAAATTTCACAAATTTCGATCAATGTTTTGTCAAAAAAATTATAGACTTAAACATGAAGTATGATTTTTCCAAAAATTTTAGATGTAAACAAAATATTACTATGATTTATGATTACTCATCTATTGAGTAGATGATTATGAAACATAAACAATAGCCTAGAGTTATATATTTACAGTCATACACATGTACTAGCGTAACACGAAATTTTAGAATTTTCTTTTGAGCACCTTCAAAATTACCAAAATTTTGTACCTAAGTTACCAATGGGTTTATCACCTTTCTTCTCTATTCTACAAGTTCGGTATAATCTAAAACTTTAGGTCTTTTGTTCCTCGCCCCATGAGCTCACCTTTTCTTAGTGTTTGGGCTTTTCTTTATAGCTAAACTGATATAAGGGTTTGTTGGAATCTGTTAATGCTAATAATTAGCAGTTAAAATTACTGCTAGTGAATCCAAACAAACCCTTGAATAGATCAACTAACTATTAGTTTGGGAGCTGTGAACTATTAGTTTAGCAAGTTCAGGTCTGCTAATAGGTGTTAATAGGGCAACCACCTATTACTAACTTATAGCAGGTGAATCTAAACGGCATTCTGCTAATAATTAGGGCTTGTTTAGATCTTTAGTCCCAGTACTATAGTTTAGTCCCTAAAGTTTAGCTTAAGATGGTTGTTTGAATCCAGGTGCTAAAAGGTGAATAAAAGGTGAAAGGGGGACGAGAGAAAGAGAGTGAAAGCACTTTTAGTCCTCTTTATGCCACCTTGAGGGGCAAATAGACTATTGGGGACTAAGAATTAGTTCTCCCCTTTTAGCACACCTGTTTGTTTTCCCAAGGTCTAAAAATAGACTAAAAATGAAGAACTAGTTGAAAAAGCTCCTGGATCAAAACATGCCCTTAGGAGCTATTAGGTAGCTAACTAATAGTGCTTGTGGGTCAAAACATGTCCTAGATCTCTACTTGAAATGTTTTCTAATTACTTATATGACCCTTCAACGATATAATATATAAATTCTTCACAGAAAATGGCACACACAATAGAATCATTGTAATTCATAAATGATTTTTAATAAATAATAATCCTCGATTGTAGTCGTTGCAGCGCGGTAAGGATAAAGCGGTGGCTGTCAGTGCTACGTGCTTGTCACAGAACGCAACTTGCACAGTATTGACTGACAGGACGATATGATGATGGACCGCTGCACTGCACGGATCTTTTGCGTGCGTGACCCTTGCGATCCAGTTTATCTGTAAAAAATTTTGTAAAATTTTTCAAGATTCTTCGTTATATCGAATCTTTGGACGCATGCATAAAGCATTAAATATAAATAAAAAATAAAACTAATTACACAGTTTAGATGAAATCCACGAGACGAATCTTTTAAGCCTAATTAGACTATGATTGAACACTAATTGTCAAATAACAACGAAAACTACTACAGTGCTATTTTTCTAAAATTTTTGGCATCTAAACAAGGCCTTATTTGTGGCCACCATCTAGCTAGGCGCATGTATACTGTGTGCATACAAGAGCAAAGCGTGTGAAACCGCAGTAAAGACGCGTCGTATGCGGCAATCAAACGCTCTAACTTTACGTGTGAAACCGGT